GTGGAGCAGATGTACTGTCTGCACAAGCATGTATGCGTGCGCATGCGTGTGTGTATGTACACCCACACACACACATATACATAAGTATATAAAAGTGGATTCTGTAAGGTCTTCCTATTATAACTGCATTGATCTCAACCATAATTTAGACATGAGATCAGTAAGCCTGAAATGCCCTGTGATGTAACGAGTTTGTTCCTATCCACTGTGTATCAGAAACCAGTTGCAAAAAGAGCAGGCACCAGGGACTTTAAAGGAGAAAACGGACAGATCTGAGGGAGGGAGGGAAAAAATTTTGCACGCAGACAGCATCTTCCAAGGACCAATTTACACACACTAATTGTGCTTCACTGTCACGGCTGAGGCAGTGCTGCTGCGTATGCTCCAGAATCGAAGTACATAAATATTACAACACACTGCAGCAGCTCACAGAGTCTGAAGCCCATGTTTCTTGAAAGTGGCTTCTGATTCCAGGTGATTCATCTTTTAGGTGCCCAGGGTGAGGTACCTCTAGACACATTTGCCATCACCCTGCCCTTTATATGGTGTTTGCACCAGTGCAAAATGGGTATGAAGCATTGCCATTGTGATTTTGGGCATGCTTCACGCTCACTTTGCTTGCACCAAGGTATACGTGACAAGATGCAGGGAATAATGTTGATCCCAGTGGGTCTAAAGCCTGGCACCCAAAAGCTGGAGCAGCTCACAGTTAGAAGCCACTGAGATCTATGCAGAGACAGGTTGCTTTGGATCGCAAAGGGCGCAATGGGGATATCCGTATCCTTATTGGCGTGGAGTAATGTCAGATTCCCCCAGTAGCTTCAGTGGAAGTAGTGATAATGTAAGGTGCTATGCCTTGGGGCCCAAAGGATTAGTAGGGCTTAGAAATGCTGATCCTGGAGTTCTATGCTGTAACCTCTGAGCAAGGCCCAGACCTTATTGCTGGCAAAATAAAGGAGCTCTCTATTCAATAAACAAAGAATTGGTTTTATATCAGCTATGTAATGACTCTGCAAACAGGAGGATGTAAAACATCCACCCATTGAAATATGGTGTGGGGTATGTGTGTCTGCTGGCAGGATACTTGGGGTATTAAACAGTTTTTCAGGTGACTCTCTGCAAAGTGCTGTGGATCAGCAGTTCCCAAACTTTTTCTTATTGCATACCCCCTTCCAGATTTACCAGCTGCCCATGTACCCCTACCAGCATACATTTTATATTTTAACTCCCTAACTTCCAATTAGTATTATAATGAAAATTAAATCCGCCATTACACAATTTCTCCCACGAAGCCCCCAGAGATATCTTGCATACCCCCAGGGGTACGTGTACCACAGTTTGGGAAACCCCACTGGAGATAATATGGTGCTGGATTTTATTTTTAAAAGTGGTTTGAGAACAAGGATTCCAGGGGCAGAAGAAAAGTGACCCTTCTGACTAATTGTGAGTCATTTATACTGAACTTCACAAATTTTAAAATCTGAGTCCCAATTAAGACATTACACTTCATGTGTTAATTAGTTTCCCCCCCCCTCCTTTAAATCAAGCTATAACTCTTCTTAATTAGGAGGTTATAGCCATTGTAATTTGAACTGGCCTGAGTTTAAAACACTCCTGGAAATCACACCTGAGATCTGTACCAGGGATCATTTTAAATTGGTGTAGTTTTTACTTGGGTGATTATAAGGACCCCAACCGGGCAGTAATTAAAAAGGGTGCAGCTTCTAAATGAGAGTGCCAGAGCGGCATAAGCAATGATGCCTCGGCTCTAAACTGTACTCCGGGGAGGCCAGGAGGAGCCTCTCAGCAAGGGCTCTAACAGATTACAACATTTCAAGCACAGGCCGAATGCACCAGTTCCAGCCGTCTCTTCTCTCCAGCACAGAGGGGATTAGTTATCCGCTTTGCATGGCTTGCGGTCCTTGGTGGCTCTGTGTGCAGTAGGGTGGTCTCAGAACTAAATTATATTTTAATGCAAGGCCCAACCTTCAGCTTCTCACTGAAACAGAGCTCCTCTTGACTGAATTGCTTCCTAAGATACTGGGCGGATAGCAGAGGCTTAGTGCGTTTGCAGGAAGCAATGCCACCTCCTTGTTCGTGAGAAGTTAGGACTGAGCCAGTTTATGTCAGTTCAGGGTCTGGTTCTCTTCTTCTCCCTCCAAGCTATTCTCTAAGGACATAGAAAATGCAGCTCTTGGTCATCACCATTAGTAGGGAGCGGAGGGTCTCAGTTTCTACTCAGGCCATGGCTGGGTGTGACCAGCTACATCACTTGCTGCCATTAGAAGCATCGTAAAAGCGTCTTGTGCATGCTCAGACTAAGCAGGGAAACAAATTTTCCTTCAAGTTTTATTGAAAAGCTCAGAACGGTGATTAACATGAAGGGTAGGAAAGATGGTGCAGTTGGGTATCCGGGGCTGTGGACTCAGGAGAATAATGAGCTGTTCCCAGTTCAGCCACTGCCCTGTTCCAGTGCTCTGAACAGGTAGTTTTTGCTTCTCCACAACTTTGTGTTCCCTCCCACCCTTTTTCTGACGTCTTGGAGTGTCCTCTGATCATGGCAGGGGCTGTCCCTTATGCATGGCTTGTCTGCAGAGCAGATGCAGACAGCTACCTAAACCTTTCCCCTAACTTCTCTCCCATCTGCACACACAGCCCAGTCTTGGGGATGCTTTAAACTCGGGGCCTGGTCTGGTTGGAGGGGTATGAATTAAACTTGTGTTGTTTCTTTTGCTCAAGCAGCCAACCATTTGCATTACTATAAGGACACTCCTCTAGAAGGACAGGCAAGTTCTCCTCTAATTCACTGGAAGTGAATCATAAAATGATTCAGCTTTGTGTAGCCCAAAGAACAAGGGAATTTGCCTGCAGAAGCCAGCAGAGGACACAAGGGTGATTGCAGTACCAGTGAGGACACAGTAATTGGCTACAGGTTTACAGTGTGGCTGCTCACACCCAGACTAGACTAACCCACTTGCTCAGACCCACCCCACATCATTCAGGTGAACCCTGCAATGAAGGTATCCCCAATGGGATCGATCTCCACCTGTTAAACATCTGCATAAATCCTGTTCCAGCTCACTTGAGTCTCTAAAAAACCATGAGCACAAAAGCCTCCTCACTGCCTGTTGTGACTTGGTCTACAGGCAGAAGTGAAGACACGTTACAAAAGCAGATGTATTACAGACTTCAGCAGGGTGGAATAGACTCATGCTTAGAGATTCAGACACCTGAATAGGGTGAATAGGACAGGATCTGGCCTTAAGCATCTGTGCAGCACCTAGCACTGTGGGCCTCTGATCTTGGTGGTGGTTTCTAAGTGCTGCTGTAATACAAATAATTAATAATAGCTTAAGGGTATGGACAGCTACTTCATTGGGCCCACTGAGCCAGAGTTGGTATAGGTTGGGCCAACTGAGCCAGAGTTGGTATAGGTTGCCCAGAGAATAGTAGGAGAGCAACCAACAAAAAGTCACATATTAAAATAATTCCACCCTTCATTAATGCGTCCACCTACTTCATGCCGAAGTGATACATCCAGGTGAGCGCAAGTCTCAGACGATACAAACGGAGAATCTGGCCAAAGGACAGTTCCTGGCCCTCTGTGGAGTTGTTCATTTTCTTGATCATCGTCACAATATCTGATTCCCATGTTTCTCACAGACCGTCTCTCACATCATCTCATTTCCCGTAGAGTCCTGTAGCTGGCTAGGGAAGTATCCCTTCATCAGACAGTTTTAAGGCCCTGGGATCGAAGGTGCACCAGGTTGGGATTGGAAGGGGCGTGTTGGCACTAGAGCTGCAGCAGATGGCATTTCATCCCTTCCAAGCCACTCCAGGTTAAGGAGTTCATAGACAGCCACAACTTAGAGGCTGGGACCTACTTAAATCGCAGTTTTGTGATTTTCATGGAAACAGTGGGAAACGGTGATCTTTGCCATTGCCACAAAAAATGGCATTGGCTGAGGTTTCCCAGGAAATCAAACCAAAAAAACCCAACTTAACAATAAAATGTTGGCTCTGCAGTGGGAGCCAGCAGTCCTCATCGCCTCTGAGGCCTGGCCTTGCAGCCCACCTGGAAGAGGAAGGCGCTGGCTAGTAGGTCGGCACGAAGGGCAGCCGTCAAGATAGCAGCTGCCCCCTCATGCTAATCAGCGCCAAGGGGCAGGACAGCACTGGGGCAGTCAGCAGTCAAGATGTCAGGCAGCCCCCCATCCCTCCTCCCTGCTAATCGGCGCCAAGGGCTAGGGCTGCTACAAAATGACTGCGAAATCTTTCTCTGGGCTGTAGCCAAGCTGCAAAAATTGCTTTCTCTTGCCATGAGTTAGGTAGGCCCCTACTTATAGCAACTCCCTAGGTTATGCCAGGGGCACAGCAGCTCCTGACTACACCAGCGTGCTGGGCTGTACCTGTATGTGCTGTGCCTCTGGACAGCTTGGCATGAAGTCATATCCAAAGTGTCCAGTTTACATCAGCCTACATGCATCCCTCCTGAGTCTGGCCCATTCAGTGTAATAATCAGGGCTGCAGGATGAGTCCCTTCCCTCAGCTGATATTTGGATTGGTCCAAGGTGGGTATCCGTCTCTCTGCTTTGGGAGTGCTGTATGTCTGTTTTGCATGTGACAGCATATGGCAGCACAAGGTGCAGAGCAGCAGTGCATAAGTCTTTGTGGGCCAGACTGTGATCCCCTCACTCCTCTGGGAATGATTCCAGTTGATCTCATTCAGTCTGCTCCTGGAGCAGGTTCCCACTGATAAGAGAAAGGGCAAGCAAACTTCATCCTTTCTCATGAATGATTTGGTAGAAAGAGTTTTTGGAGCCCTGAGCCAGGACAGACATCCCATCCTGAGGTCTGGGTGGGCTGAGGTGAGTCAAGGAAGGAGTCAGCCAAGGGGGAGTATCTGTTCCACCCTCCCCTAGATGGTTGTAGCAGAGCACCCATGTTTGTATGGACAGCAGCGCTTGGCACTACTAATGCAGCCTCTCTTCTCCTTGCAGGACGTCTCTCCTGCGATCCCATCCCCGGATGATCCTCCCAGTGCAAAGCCTTGTGTGCCTCGCTGCCTTTGGCCTGGCTCTCCCGTTGGCCATCAGTCTCTTTCCACAGATGTCTGAGGTCAGTATATCTCTGGTTCACGTCACACTGAATAGCATGAGACAGAGGGGCGTTACATCCCTGCACATCAACATGCCCTCTGGGCTAATTTTTATCAGGTGATCAGAGATCCATCCTGGCCAGCAACAGGGACTAAAACCACAAATCTGAGCTTTTTAGAGCAATCCCACAGCCAGAGGAGTCAGTGGAGTCAGGTGTATAGAGGACACATTCACTTGTGTCTCTGGGGAGTGAGAGAGCAAGTTTGCAGCTACAAGTCGGGTACATCGAGACTGCACCACATCACAATGTTGACTCCGAAAATGCTTTATGCCTGCTGCACCTTCCTGTTTGGACAAAGACAGTTCTTGTTTCTTTGACTTGAATATGGTTGATTTTGTTAAACATACAATTTCCGGTGTGCTCAGCATGTGGCAGTGCTTATATTGTTAGAAGCAATGGCTGGGAAATGGGGCATTGAGGTGGATACATTTTTTATTGTCATATGAGTTTCTGTGTCCTGTAGCCAATGAATGGATCGTGCAATAATATTTGCCCCAAGTGATAAAAACAAGGGGAATTTTGATTTTATCATTTTGGTTACAAAGGATTTGCAGGGCTTTGGATCAAAGGAACTGTGATCTCAAAATAGCCCTTGACAGAACTGAGCAAAAGGGCTTATGGTCCACTTCAGCATCCTTTTGAGCGCAAATACATGGCAACACATTATATGCTGCCCCCCCTCCCCGACTTCTGTTCTCCCATAGCAACTGCCTGGTTCATCATTCTCCAGTACTTAAGCTTAAGCTTAGGCTACACAGCAGTCAGTTTTAACACCTATTAATTGCAGGGAGGAGTGAGACACAAAATGCTTGAAAGAAGTACTGAAATATGATGCCTGGAAAGCCTCCTCTTTGCACGTTCTTAAAGGGTAGCTCTCATCAGACAAGGAACTCTTTAAAATGATGTTCTTCCTTGATCAGTAGTTCTCCATATTTATTCTTTTTCCATGTCAAATGTGCTCCATTTACAAGTCCAGCAGCATTTGTATTTCTGTATGCTGGCCATGAACAGCCCACCCTGGGCTCTAAGAGTCAGCCTGGGTTTTTTCTGTCTCCCTTACCAGCATCTGCAGTCAGAACTGAGCTTCCTATTTTGTTTCTGATCCATCAGGCTGAATAAAGTCCGACTCATCTGTGCCTTGTTGTCCGTGGGGGAAACTTGTCTTAGTTAAGCAAGCAACCATAAAGAGTAGAGCCACAAACACCCTTTCTTGAGATTTCCTAGAGCATTTCTCCATTTGATCTTTTAGATTGACTCTTTAGGGCGGGGAGTGTCTTGGCTTTATGCATTGTACCACACTGTGCCCACTGTTGGTGCTTGTTGATAATGTTATGTTAAGTGAGAAAGATTCATTTCATAAAAAGCTGTATTTCAATGCCACTTATTCTGTATCTCATAGGCCCACCAGCATGCAGACAAAAATGAGATACAGAATAAGTGGCATTGAAATGTAGCTAGTAAAGTAAAACCAAAACAAGGGTACAGCCAAAACTGCCATTGATGTCACTTAGGCCTAATTTCGTTGGGTAAGGTACAGGTACTCATTTTTCAGAAATGTCAACTACTCTTAGATGACTTGTAATTTATGAAATGAGAAGGCACAGTTATATTTCAATGCGCTGTATAACATAGGGCATAGAACTAACTTGAAATGTCTGTCTCCATCCTCTGTATGATCATTCCTCGGGGGTTTGAAGCTTGTTATCAAATCCCCCTCAGTCTTCTCTTCTTCAGACTAAATAATCCTAGTTCTCCCGGCCTTTCCTTATAAGTCTTGCTTCCCAAGCCCCAAAACATGTTTGTTGCTCTGTGCTGGACTCTCTCCAATCTATCCACATCCTTCTTGAAGTGGTGGGAGGCCCAAAACTGGATGCAGTACTCCAGGTGAGGCCTTGCCAGTGCTGGATAAAGCAAAAGAATCACTTCCCGTGATTTGCAAGCGACTCTCCTGCTGATACAGCCCAATAGTCTGTTGGCTTTTTTTGCAGCCAGAGCACACTCTTGACTCATATTCAGTTTATGGTCTACTGCAATCCCCAGGTGCTTCTCTGCAGTGCTGCAACCCAGCCAGTCATTCCCCAGTCTGCATTTGTGCATGCAGTTATTCCATCCCAAGTGCAGGACGGTGAACTTGTCCCTATTGAATCACATCTGATTGATTGCAGACCATTTCTCCAGTCTGTCCAGGTCATTCTAGATTCTCGTCCTGACCTTCAGAGGGTCTGCAACTCCGGCTACCTTAGTGTCAACCTCAAATTTGCCAAGCACACGCTTAATTCTATCTTCCAAATCATTGATGAAGATGTTGAACAGTACAAGACAGAACAGACCCCTGGGGAGCCCCATGCAGTACCTCCTCCCAACTGGACATGGAGCCATTGAGCACAATGGCTCCTCATTAAGCCCAATGATCCAACCAGTTATGTGTCCACCTTACAATACTTTCATCCGCTCTCTGCTTCCTTAGCTTGTTCATGAGAATGTCACGAGAGACAGTGTCAAAAGCTTTACTGAAGCCAAGGTCTGTCACAGCCGCTGGTTTCCCCCAGGCCACATGAGCCAATCCACAGCCTTGTCATAGAGGGAAGTCAGGTTGGTTAGGCATGACTTGATTTTGGTGAGTCGATCCTGGCTGTTCATGAACATACTGTTTTTCTGTAGTGCTTAGCACAAGATTCCTTGAGGACCTGCTTCATGCTTTTCCCAAGTATCAAGGTCAGGCTGACTGATCTGTTATTCCCTGAAGTCTCCTTCTTCCTTTTCTTATTAGGCTGGCACTATATTTGCCCTTTTCCAGTTTAATCAGTGCCAATGGCATCTTCTTCTACCTTTGTTGACTAGACTGAAAGAACCATTAGGGCTTGGTTTTGTTACCTATTTAAGTCACCCTTTAATCTTTAATTCTTTTTTTTTTTGAAAAGTTTAAATAGGTTGAGCTTCTGTATTTCTCGCTTCGGTCATTCATGCAAGTCTCTTCTGAATGTTTTCCAATTTATCATTATCTTCTTTGAATTGTGGACACCAAAACTGAGCATCATATTCCTGTCATGGTTCCAGTAGAGGAAATACATCTTCCCTAATCCTACTCAAGAATCCTGCTGATGTATCTAAAGATCGTGTTCCCCTTACAGCTCCATTGTTGAAAAGTAGGCAAATGTAGGAACATAGGACTAAAGGGGCTTTCAGAGCCATCAAGTCCAGTCCCCTTGATTTGCAGTCAACCGCTTAATGAAGGAATCCCCATAATTACTGCTTCGATCCCTTACCCACAGCCACAAGAACCAATATCCCAAACCCCAAGAATACCCTTCAACACGCTATAAATAAAAACAGGGAAGATGCGGGCACCACCAGTGCCCTGGCACTGCAGAGACAAGGAAGTAGCTAACAGGCACTCAGAAAAGTGCTAGATCACTGGAAAGTATTGTTTGTGATGTTTTCACTTGATGGGTTACACTGATGTTAGCAGCCATGTCTTTTAAATCGTAAGAAAAACTAGCGTCTGCCTTCAAAAAGAAAAGTACAGTTGCATACAATGGAGAATTTTGCAAACATAAAAATTACTTGAGAGTGACCTTCTAAAAGCAACTGAAATGTTATCTACAGGGTAAACATGACTCATTGCTGATTAGCAGATAAAACAGAATGATGTGCTCTGCCCACGCATGGTGTCAGTGAAGGGAAGCCGCTGCAGCCAGTGGTATTGCTCATTACCATGTGAGTTCTCCGCTCTGCGCAGCCAGGGTCCTCCTGTCTCAAGAGAAGAAGAAAAATTAACTGAGGACTTAATTTTTTGAGCATTCCAGTCCTGTCAGACACCCCAGTCTTGAAATGATGTGTGCATTTATTGAAGGAGTTGTGGGTGGGTGTAAATCCCTACTTATGACAAATGTAATTCAGTTCTGCTTAATGGATGGTGAGGTTTAGAACTGTTCCACATCAGGTCCTCTCTCTAAACCCAAAGTCTTTTCAGAGCCAGTTCCTTACAGTCTTGAATCATTCTCCTGCCCAGCCCATCAGTCCTGTTTCTCCATTTGGGAGGCATCCCTAAATGGGCTGAGCAAGTGATGTGTTTGGTTTATGAGCATGCGCCAAAATTTGGCAGATTATTTCCTATGCTGCGTATTTCAACATGACCTTTGTCTCATGACCTTATTTTTTATGACTGTAATAGGTTTAAGGCAGCCATAGACTAAGCACTACATAGGCAGTAAACAACTCTACCCACCAAGCATCACAAAAGTGAGTGCATCTGAAACTTGTTCGGGGCTCACGCCTGGTTAAAAGCAGGGCCCTTCATGTTCCAGATTCTGCAGATGTGGAGTCCACTTCTCTCTACAGAATTGCACCCTAGGATTGCAGGGGGCAGGATTGTACTCTCAGTGCTTCTAGCCTTTCTGTTTGGGAAGATAACCACAAAAACAGAAGCCAAATGTAAAAGAATGCAGTGGTGTCTTCCTGGGTCTTCAGCAAGCCTAAATCAATAGCTCTTGCTTTTAGTTACTATCCCGTTCATCTCAAAATATAGGGTTAACTCTGAAATCTAAATACAGCTATCTATGCCTCATCAGTAAATGGCTCGCTTGTGGTGATTGTAGCAGAAACATCCAACTAATATGCTTATCCCTAAATTCCAAACATCCTCCCTCTACCCAACTGTGCTACCCTACAGCCTCCATACACGGCCATCCTCAGCACAGATATGATCGCCAGGACAAATGCCAGTGCCACTTTGAAACCTAAAAATGGGTATTGCATAAATTAAATTAGGTTCAGTATCAGAATAAACATCCCACCGGTTGCCTTACAGATTTCCTTGTCCACTTTCATATTTAATTCACGTAGTACCATCACTTTCAGTTTTAAAGAAGGTGCTACAAAGAGAGCTACAAAGTTCAAGAGCCTTGCTGCAGAACCTAAGCCCACCAGGTTGTGTAAGCTGATTATAAGGGCAAGCC